TGTAGGGCAGCCACGCGCCGCTGGTGTGACGGGCGCCGCCGGTGTCACGCGTGGGGCGTTATTTGTGGGTGACGGAAAGGATGAGAAATAGCCGCCTTTCTCTTCCCCCCCGGTTTCGCCGCGACCGGTGGCAGTGCCGGGGATGGTCTGGGCGGCCCGCGGGGTCAGACCTGGCGACAGTCATTAGGAGTGGTATGGGGACCATTATGCCTGCTGAGGGCATCCCGCGACTGGCACACCAAGAGGGGGGCTCCAACGAGGTCCAACGCCTTGGCGTCCTGCACGGTTGAAGGAAGGGAGTCATTCAGGATAAATGAGACATCACGAGAATTGGCGGATGTGCTGCCGGCTACACTGATAAACCAAGTGTCCAACTGCTCAACAATTGTAAGTGTGCAACTGCAAGTTGAATACTTGCAATATTACAGCTCAGTGGTAGTACTTGTAAGTGTGCAACCTACCTGTAGAACATTTCCTTACATTGGATGGTTACTGTGCGGCAAGTGCTTAACACAGGTTATCACACTCGCAAGTGCTCAAACAACGAAAACACTGGCAAGTGTGAAACTTGCAGTTGCACTCTTACGAGTGTTGAACAGTTGCACACTTCGTTCATCCGTGTATGGGCTAAAGAGTCGGGAACGTTAAACTCGCATTTACTTAATTTTATATGCTCCCACCGTTTTCTTTTTAAATTTTCTTTTTCCCTGAAGAAAAAAGAAATAGATTCATCACTTTAATCACACGCGATCAACGACGGCGAAAACGCTGATCTCAAACAAATGACAAGTATTTGAGAAGCGTTTTGTTTAAACTTTGACTTACACAATATGCTCACAGCATTGATTCTCGGTTCCGGAGATAGAATCGCACAGTTTAAATCCAGTCTCACACCCGATATCGTGGCTTCCTAAACTTCTCTCATTATTGATGATAGCCAGTGGCCATACTGCCAAACTGCTTCCCCCCTTCCTCCCCCTTTCTTTTTCATATTTCTTTTACTCCCTTCCTCATTCATACCAAGACCGGCCACATCTGATCAGGTTCGCTGTGTCCGGTGTGGCCCGAGCTGGACTGTCCGGACATGTCTGACGTAACTGAAGGATGATCCTTTCTCTGCTGTCTCCGTTGTGCTGGGTCGGGCCGCGCCGCTGGCCTGGGCTCCCGGTCTCGCTCAGAATGGGAGGTGTGGAATTTGCCAGGAACCCGCCCTTCTTGCTCCGGTGAGGGTATGTACTTTTCGATGAATAAAATCTCACATGATCACACGTGTGTATGAACTGAATGGTACGTAAAATATAATGACTCAGTGTCGCTCAATGTGTTAAATTGGCCCTACAATTAGCGTGTCTGCCGTGTTCAGGTCTGTCCCTGTCCTTTATGCTGTTTTCGGTTGTTGATTTTGTCACCCGAGCTTTACAAAGTGTGCTTAAAATGCTCTTCGAATACACTCCTTGACATTCGAATGACGGAAACATTTACTCAAATTAGGCAAACGGAGAGGCTGTACAAGGCGAATGCCTGAGTGTAAGGCCACCTCCAGTGTCGTGTAAATTTTTGACGATTTATGATTACTACAATGCAAAATGTTTGCAGAAAATAGGTTCGTAATGCAAACGATTTTCTTTGAAGCTTGCAAAGAATTTTGAAGCATTGTAGTACAAACTAGTTCTTTGCAATAATCTTGCAAACTATTTCTCTGCAATGCTGACACAAAGTTTCCAAGGAATCCGACAGCTTGCAATGAATTTTCTTTGCAATACAGAGATTCAAATACTTCGCAACGCCTCAGCATCCAATGAAAATATGTAGTTTGCAAGCATTTTACTGTGTAGGAATGGGCGTAGCTTTCAGTTTATTTCTGAGGAGAGGAGTTATTGTAGGCCGAAGCTAAGCGTATGCAAGTGCTTTTGCCGACTTATGCAGCTGTGTACGTGTACGTACGCCCTTAAGAGGTCGTACCTTAGAGTGTGTTCGTTTTGAATCTCCTAATACTGCTTCATGGAACCATCTCACTGCGTAGTGTGGATAATTGTATCATACCAACACATTCTCTTTTAAAATGTGCATGCCTAAAACTTGTGAGTCCGTTTAAAGGGAATGTTTTTTTCGAAACTGTGAGGAAACAGTTCGTGTCGCGAGCGCGTATGTCGAAACGGGACCGGAAGCTGATGGTGACGGGGTCAGCCAGTCAACATGCTGAGTGGTTCCACCAGAGTCGCGATGAGGACGGGCCGTCGACTCCGACCTGCAGAACCGCATCGAAACTGCAGCATAAAGCCCATCAAGTTGAGGGGGCCTGATGGCTGCGCTGAGCGGTGCCACCTGCCGTGCCCTGGTGCCGCCCCATATCATCAAAGAATTTGTGACGGCGAGGATATCAGAGCTTCCGTGATG